AAAATTACAACAGCATTTGAATAATATTGCAATTGGGTCGTTAATTCTACAAATTAATTCTATTATTTACAGTCAAACCGGATATACAGTAATACGATGAAGAAATAAATTATAAACACAAAAAACAATTGTCCCACTGAATTCTGTAATAATGCTGATTACAGAAAATAGTTATAAGCAAATTGAAATGAAAATGACTTTTCTACATTCTTATAATCCAACGAAAATATCTTATTTATAAATCCATAATTTCCATGTTTATGAAATTTTGAGATGAAATTGACAACTCGCGATATGAGTACATGAAATTGACACATATACACTGGATAAGAATTGTGTTTTGCGAATTTGATTTATATTATTAATAAGATATTATATGTTCATATATTATGCACATATTGTCATAAATACGTTTTTAAAGATAGGTTCTGCTTTTAAAGTTTTACCTTATCATAACTACGGTAACCAATATAGCCGAATAGGAAGTGCCAGTGATTGTTCAATAGTCAATACGGCTCTTGTTTTATATTGTCATTTGTATGCAAAAAATGCCAGAAATTGACTAGCTATAATCGTTAATAATACTTACTTCTGTAGATCTGTTCTTAACAGTCAAACTGACAACAGTTGCAAAGGTATTCATATGTGTATTTCTCTGCTTTAACAACACAGATGCGGCCACGACTATGCTAGGAAGCCATGTAGTTTCCTTTTTAGCATTCGCACAGGTCATCAAAACTCCGTAAAATAGTGGAGTGCGTTCTTTCAACTCAATACACACTTTCTCCAAACAAAAGTTCAATATGTCGGCTTTAGCGCTTTTCCTGAGAATTGAAGGGTTTTTCAGAGAGCACAGATCTTTTAATTCTTTTCCTAGCTTTTTGAGAACCAATTTCACAACCGACCTGTTTATTATTGGATTTTTCATAACAGCACGAGCTATACGACCATCTGCTCCAAATACAAGGGCAGTACCAATGGATGATAGTTCTGTGCTTAGCTCTTTTCGTACAGTTCTCGACGGGAATTCAACCGTGATGGTAACTTTTGAAACACCGTCAATATCCGTTGGGCGTACAGTGCTCGGTATTCTCTCTTTTTTTAAAGGCGTAGAACTTTTCGGTGGTTCGAATTGAATGTAAGGAAATGCTTTCATAACCAAAGAAAAGCGATTTTGTTGTGATAAATTAGGTGAAGTAACACATATAGTAGGATATGTAAACCTTGGACAAGGATCTGGAGTGCCAGGCAGCTGGCATACGTTTGACTTTGACTGAGAAGTTTGAACACTATCTTCGTAATCTAGAATCAGAGCCTTCGGTCGCAACCTTAGTGTTTGTGGTGATTCTGGTGCCATTCTTTTTAACCGAATGGACCCTCCTTGTTGAAACATATGTCTCAATTTGTCGCATAGATTCCCAGTTGATTTTATGAGGCCGTCCAGTCGAGTAAGCTGCTTGTAGCATTTTGAACAAACAAACATTGCATTGGTTTTTTCAAACTCTGCGAGGTTTACGTTGACTGCTCTCTTTATTAATTCTACCAAGTTAATAGAACTTCGCCCAAAAACCTTTATCCGTTTTTCATAACTTGTTGTATTTTTGCAAATAAAACATTCGTTCTCTTCTATTATAACTTTTTTCGGTGTAGAAGCCTTTTAAGAAAATAATGGCAATTAATTAATGTTTCAATTATTTTATAATTTAATTTATGCACTTTCACAAAAATCACTCTTTTATATCAGAGATTCTGATTGGACGATCGAATTAGACGTTGTGACGTAGCGGAATTCAGTTTGGCGCTCGGGTAAGCAGACGGTAGTATTTCGTCACTTGGCGTAAGAACTACAACGTCTGTGAGCAGGCTAAGCCATAGCACGCACGGAGAAGTCTTGGCGTAAACGAATGGCGTTCATAAGATAACCAATAGAGTTCACTGGTGAAAACAGATAGCTATACTTCGAAATAAGTCTTGCTTGTTGAGTTTCAGAAATTTCCAGAGAGCAATGTCAATGCAAGGAATTTTATAGTCCATAAGAACACGGGTTTTAATCCTGTGCTATCACAAGTCAAGATACAGTAGCATTATTTACAAACAGTTCGCGATGTTTCGGAAACCAAAAGATCACGTTATAAAAAAATCCGTTTGAATATCGGACAGAATACACTTTAATTTAACGGCCAGATCGTTCGCTTGATCGGTCGGTCGGTGTGGAAGATATTAAAGTAGCTTCTACGATGAAGCGTGCTCAACTTCGCAAGCTGTAGGTAGCGTGTGGTGTTCTTTCCTTGCAATTGAAATATGATTCAGCTTCTTGTTTGAAATGTAACTCAACACTCATTATTGATGACATTGATATAGCAGGAAGTTGTGTCATGATAAATAGAATTTTTAGTAAACAGTTTATTTCACGATTTCTTGTTGCAAATTACATTTTTATCACCAGAAACTAGAACACATAAGTTGCAATTTTCCAAACACGACAAACCACTCCTCTACCACCCTACCCATAGACACAATTTATTTTAGCACGCAGAATCTGCATGCCATGTGACCAGCCCCAGCCAGGGTCTTTGCTTCCCAAGAGCAAAGAGCCTGGGAACGAGGTTGCGCATTTGATTGGCTTCTTTTACTTCACGGATCAATCAGGGACTTTGTTTACAAATTGGCTTGTGAATTCCAATATGAGCTTCCGAACTTCCCAACCAACTTGCGAACTTCGCAACGAAATTCGGAACATTTGTGGTCAAAGTTTCGTGAAATCGACTGTAAAATCGTCCCTCGGGTGGGGCATTTTCCACTCTCATCTTGCCCAGGGGCCGTGCATTAGTCTTCAAGTTGTGTCCCGGCACCCAGCCATTTACACTATCATAACCAATCAAATCAAATTCCCGGGTGTGTTCCGGGGGGGGGGGGATGGTTACTCCTGGAATTGACTCATGCATAACCCTAACCTTTTGAGAGTTAGAAAAGTCGGAAAAAAAGTTTAAAAAATTTTAAGAAAAAACAAAACACATCCCGACCCCGACTGCGTTTAACTTTCCGCACGCAGCGCCCTTGCCGTATGAGCTAACGGCAAGCTCGGTAAAAGTTAACACAAACAAAAGTTTTTATATTCAACTATAGTCACTAGACTGCCGGCCATTTAGTATTTGATAAACCGTGACCGGGCTGCCGGTCATATAGTCCCTTTGATTTTAATATGTCATTATGTGGGTAAATTTATAAGAAGCAAGCCCATTGCTGGCATATACTACAACTCCCCTATCCACTTGCAAGTATAAAACTACAATTAACACAGAAAACAGGCTGGACTATTTTATATTACTATAGTCTTTTATGGTCACTGGCATTACACTGACTGCAAATTAATGGGTGCTATTATTGAGATGCTGGTTTGTGCAATGAAAGCTCAGGCTGTTTACATACAGTTGAAGGATCTTGTAGATGGAAATAATTGAGTGAAAATGTATTTACATTCATTGGATGTATAATATGTATAATAAAGTATAATAAAGTTGTTATTTTTGTGAAATAATAGCCATTTTTGATACCGTCAATTTAGATCCAATTTGTTTGCAAATGTGCTTTAGAAAACACCAGAAATGCAGTAGCGGAGCTTCAAAAATGTAAAAATTTTCTGGGGGAGGACCCCCATACCCCCTTTTCTTAGGAAACTTAGTATCACAGTGGAAGTCAATCATATATAATTATTATACTTCAGGTAGATTTTTAACATTGAAGTTCAGATTTCAGGTAAAGTTCTCCTATATCCCCCCCCCCCCTTCCCAATGTCAGATGCTTTGCTACAGCCATGAAGATCAGTGCAATCACCATAAACACTAACCCTTGCAGTTGTGACGGTATATGAAAAAGCAAACACACAGCCATTGTGCTGAGGTCATATCGACAAGTTTCAAGCTTTCTTTTCCATTTTCACGCCTGTCAAAAATGCATCCAAAAGCGCCAATTAGAAGTGTCCACTATTTTTCTAATTACCGAGCGGAAAAAATGTAAGACTGGTAACTAATTCTAATTTTGAAAATCGCGCTTTTTCTCTTGCTTCTGGTACTTTGTAGGATGTGTCAGAATATATAGGTATATACGAGTGTGAAAGAGGAGATTCTGTAAATTATTTTGATCCCAATTATTGCCATGGTTACTTTATTATTATTCTAGTTTGCTTGGTCTTCTTCCGGGCATTCGCGCTAGTTACGAAGTTTCAAAGGAAGTCGCTAAAATACACAAATTTCGGCTAGTTATATCTTTTTTGTTTATGCTCTGATTGTTTTCGTTATTGTGTGATTTGAAAGATAAAGTGTCCATTTACAATCGTATGTTTTTTGTTTTTTGATAATTGTGCAATGAAATTGTAAATATGCCGTGGAAAAGAGCAACACAATACAAGCGCTTCATTGTCGGGAGCGTATGCGACAGCAAAGGTTAAGCTTTATAGCCATAGATAACAAGACGAAGCAGGGTAGAGCAACGGCTAAGAAGTTAAAAAGATTGGATAAAAGGGTAAGATGAGCCGTTTAATTGTTTTGGTAGTTTATTTAGTACAAAATTTTAACAAATCGATGCCTCTAGGTATAGTCAAATCATAGTATTTATGCATATTTTTTCAACATGATCGATCGGCTCAGCTGCTAGGTTAATGTTTACTTAACCACTTGGACAGTGAGTCAAAGATCCCTTCGTTGAATATATTTATTTATGTTTATTGTTTACTGCATGAATAACCTTTCAAAAGCATTTTTGATATTAATACCCAACATTTTCACCATGACATTAGTAAAGACAGTAAATTTGTCTGACAATTCAATATTTGATTGTTTTCACCTAATGAACCATTCATTTTATATACACACACCCCTATGGATGCGGTTTTCTGAGGGGTCGCCTGAATTTTAACGAAATTTGTCAGGGTAACCTGTAAATACACCCTTTTGATGATTATGTAGCACATACTTTTTGCTCTTGGAGCCCCAGATCGTGATTCATGAGTGCAAGGCACCCAGGCCAAATGACATAATTACTGAAAGGGTGTATTATTAAAATTTTGGATAAAATTCATCCGAAGGGTTGTCTAAAATAGGAAATAATTCTGAGCAGCATGGTATTGGAGATGAGGTTTTCCGAGGGATTGCCTCAATTTTAACAAAATTTTTCAGGGTAACCTGTAAATACACCCTTTCGATTATTACAGTACGTCACACATACTTTTTGCCCTTGGAGCCCCAGATCATGATTCATGAGTGCAAGGCGCCCAGGCTAAATGACGTAATTATTGAAAGGATGTATTATCAAATTTTTTGATAAATATTTATCCGAAGGGTTGTTTAAAATAGGAAATAATTCTGAACAGCATGCTATTGGGGATGAGGTTTTCTGAGGAATTGCCTGAATTTTAACCAAATTCTTCAGGGTACCCTGTAAATACGCCCTTTCGATTACTACGTCACACATACTTTTTGCTCTTGGAGTCGCAGCTCACAATTCATGAGTGTAAGGCTCCCAGGTCAAATGATGTAATTATTGAAAGGATGTATTATCAAATTGTTTGATAAAAATTTATCCGAAGGGTTGTCTAAAATAGGAAATAATTCTGAACAGCATGCTATTGGGGATAAGGTTTTCTGAGGGATTGCCTGAATTTTAACCAAATTCTTAAGGGTAACCTGTAAATACACCCTTTTGATATTTACGTCACACATACATTTTGCTCTTGGAGCCCTGGATCTCGATTTATGAGTGCAAGGCTCCCCGGCCAAATGACGTAATTATTGAAAGGGTAAAATTTTGGATAAAATTTATCTGAAGGGTTGTCTAATATAGGAAATAATTCTAAACAGCATGC